TATCAATTAGCTTGTCCTGTAGACTGATAACAACCGACTGATATGCATTAATTAATACGTACTCGCATATTGATAATATACATATTTTGTCTCTCAATCAACTGTAAGGAGCGCACGATTTGTTTAGCGAGCACATCCTTGTTGGCAATCTTCATCATATCTTGCATTGAACGTATTTTAATTTATAAGCTTTACACTGTTTATAAGCTTCAGACTGAGCATTTCACTGATAAAAGTCTGTCCGCCCACCTCCACCGCTGGAAAATTGCAGTCGGCATTACAAAGATTGAAATGTACTACGTATTTCATCCACAAACAAGATCGATTGAAGCACAACCGCGGTAATCATTATTTGTATATGAACGAGCAATAAACTTAACACAAACGAGAAAATGTTTTTGCATTTTATTAGGCAGGTCTTCTGTTTTTTGTTTGTTGTTTATTATTATTTTTGTATACGATCAGTCAGTTATTAAGCATAGTTGAACCCCTTAGTGAATACAGCTATTCGAGACTCGAGTGTAGATTTTGCAGGTAAACAGTTCCTCGTGGACACTTATAACTTAGGGTAACACTAGCTATTCCGTTAAAACACCCATAAGTTTTAACAATCGTGCTCTCGGATTGAACAAATGATATGCCGACTTACATTTATGTCATTGTATAATAATTGTGCCACCACAGATCTCTTTTTGTGTAGACCTAGTGTGTCAGGTAACTTTGGATAGTTAGTTTTAAAATAATTACAACACAAATCTATTATATTTATTGCCCTCAGTATGTAATCAGGGCGACAAGCTTGTAACTGACTAGTATAATATAGATTGTGTTCGTAGTCCACCGGACCACCAGCATAGCAAACATGTGTTTTATTTGTAAATGTTTTAAGAAATCCTATATGTGGCATCGTGCCACGTTTTATTTACGAGAGACACGAGTAAGTCTCGAGGGTAATAAAGATTGTTTTGACACGTGATAGTGCTCCCAGGACTGGATTGGTCGATCCTGAAAGTTGATATGTTGATTGTTGGCACGTGCAAACTGTCACCCTCTCCTCGTTATGAGACGTGTCTAGAATTCGCTGAAGTCTTATGGTTTTAATGGTACTTAATAAAGCACATTTATATTTTCTTCTGCATCTGACAGCCCGCTTCTCAATCAATCATGTGATATTCTCATGACCACGAATTAGGTCAACATTGATATTCCTCCAATAATATTGATCTTTTACGTCACGCGCGATGCAACGTTTCTAACAAAAGTCAATTTATCTTCGCGCTCACGTGAATATACGTTGAAAGTTGGCTGGATTACAGAGTTTCCAATGTGATGCGTGGACTGTGATCCTAGTTATCTAATAATAGCTTGTAATTGCCGTATTATTATCCTTATATTAGTGAATGTAGCTATATTTTCACCCGATTCCCCTGCTTCGAATAAAAGCTGCCGGCTCTGCTTGGCGCTTCTACTGATGGTCATTCAATTTGTATTGATCTCACCACCTGTTGGGCTGGTCGATTATCTTGTGACGAAAACTATCCGTTACAATGAACAATTTATGCTGATGCTTTAAATTTGAACAAAAAGACAGTGCGTGCGTATTTGGCCCAGCTTGCATCCAGCCACATGGGAGAGAGAGATAGGGGGACTTATTAAATGAGGAATGGTTGGTCACATGCTAAGGGGTCTATTTGATGGACGTGCCAATTCCCACCAGGAATATTTTGTTAATAGTTTGTAGATGCGTTGAACGACCTCAGTCAAACCTTTTCTCATTGACAAAGCGCGACTTCAGTAATCGAAATATGCATCTTAATAATTTCAGTTTATTCAAAAAAATGTTGCTTTTGATAGAGTAGCCTGTCGAAAAATGGAAGTATTATGATTTTTACTTGAACAAAGTAGATAGTTGCGTTGTGTTTTACTCTGTCTCTTAACTTTCGTATGCACATTTCGGGCTCCCGATCCTTTAAGTTAATTCGATAACTCCAACTTAATTAAATTCTGCCACAAAATGTTTTGTGACTGCAGATTTTGAGATGACAGAAAGGCAAATGATAATAACGTTTAACTCGTGACACAGCAAACAGTTTATAATTAACTCTCTTAATCATACGCATAATTAGTCTGGTTCCACAGAAAATGCTCGTCAAGAGGCCGGTGACAGGAGCTTTTAAGGATTGAAGCTATTACATGTAACAAAAGCTGGGGGGGGGGGGGGGGGGGGGGGGGGGGGGGGGGGGGGCCAACCATATTAAAGTATATTAAAGTATATCCCCGGGTCAAAATCGGAAAAAATCCTACATTTTAATATACTTTAATATAAAACAGTGCAATATCATTTGTCGCAAATCAGAATAATCAGAAACTATTTGGAAAAACCCAAAAACTGTCTACTTTAATATACCTACAATTAGAAGATTTATATTCTTCGTTAAGATTTACATGATGAACTATATTTTTCACTCAGATTCGCAAGATAAGCCTGTTTTAGGACTATTACATGAATTTCCATCCAGATTGGTCAAAAATTGGCTGAGCTATGAGCTTAAAAAAATATGCCCATATTTGGGCATACGCTTTTGCCCAAATTCGCTTTTGCCCAAATTCGATAAAATTTCAATATTTTTTAATGAGACTAACTCTATGTGGAAGATATAACTCAGTGTTTGTTGAATATAGTGGATACTAAGTAAAAAGACCTCCATGAACAAAATTGGGAAAATTGCACATAATATCTCGGTTCGGAATACTAGCCAAAATGACTTCATTAAAATTGAAATAACTCCATCAGTTTTCAATATTTTTTCAAGAACTTTTTGGAATCGATTAAGAATTGCATTTCAAGCTTATTTTGGGCAACAATTTTTGATGTAGGCCTCCAAGGAGATAGGGATATATTAAAGTATATTGTAGGTATATTAAAGTATATTAAAGTATATCCCCGGGTCAAAATCGGGAAAAATCCTACATTTTAATATACTTTAATATGGTTGGCCCCCCCCCCCCCCCCCCCCCAAAAGCTTGTACCCCATTGTCCCTCAGATGAGTGTGGCGTCTGCTGTTAAAAGGCAGCTCACTCGACTAACGACGGTGCAGCCTGTGAATAATGCATAACCCGCCCTCTTGACTTAGCAACCCAAGCTAATCTTTAGGTAATCACTTCACCACGGCGTCCACCCAAATAGGGTGATTATTTAGCTATCCTCGGTCAAGGAGCGAGTTTCTATATCGTATCCTAATTAGGGCTTCGTTTTCCTCAATGTGGATTGTGGGTGCATGATTTAAGGCGCTCATTACTACCTCATACCTTCTTCTCCATTCTCTGTAAGAGTTCTGATTTGTGTTGTAATGCATTCTGTGCTCCTTATACCTTTTTTGTGCATATGGGCGCACTTTTAAAATCGCAAGCTCGAGAGTCAATAATATAGCTTGATAGCTTCCCATTTTGAAACCTTTGTTTTCAAATGCAGAAAAATCGTATCTATTGGATCTTGCATTTGTTCTTTTTGGCGACCTATAGCACCACAGATTACGTGGGTCCTCTGGCTATTCGCAACTTTGTTTGATGCCTTTCTCAATATAACAGAGGCCCATCGTATAAGGTATTAGATGACTAGTTTTTAAAATCAGTGGATAGGAAGGTATTAATTAATAAGCAAAGTAGTATCCGCTCCTCGAAGATTTGCTAATTTGTCTTAGCAGTAATATTGTAGTTTCAGATTTTTGCATGCAGGAAAATGCATTACTTGGGACTTAATTTCATTTTAATATCGGCTGCGTTTAATGACGGTCCCTCCAATTTGGTTTCAATCAATGTGGACACAAATGATATGTGTTTGAATGACAGACTATTTATTTGTAAATCTGATAAAATTCTAACGTTTTCGTGCTGCCCTTATATGGGCCATGACACGTGATATTGTCGAACGTTTTAAATCAGTAGTTTTATACTCAATTTTTATGCTCCATCCATATTTATATAAAGAGATAACAGTTTTACTTTTATTTTCGATTCTACATACAGCTTGGTACAACCTGTACCACTTCCCGCACTCGTAGTACTGTAGCAATGTTCACTTTATTTAGGACAAATTCTGATCCAAGTTCACAGTGTTCCATGTTGTACACCACTTGTCTGTTTACTCTAGACTGGCCTAGACTATTTTGTGTTTCTTATTGTTTCCAGTATTATCAGAAAATTACGCATCTCTTGTAATTTCATTCTTTGCACTCCGTATCGTATTATTGTAATGTCTGTATCGTTGTAAAATCAACCTTGAATTAGACATACTCTGTTAAACAGCCAGTAATTACTGTTCAAGTAGTGGCTCTCTCTCCCTCTCTCTCTCTATTTATGCTCCACTCGTCACTCGTGCTCACATTATCGCTGTAGTTTCCTCTTCATGACATTTAACAATGTTTCCCCAAGGAAAATGTCCAGTAATAAATATACATACCAACAATACTAAGGTATACATTAGCGTTAAGCGTTATAGACGTTGCCGCCTTTCTCAAAGCCGCCTCTTAATTCCACAGCTGCATATGACAACTCTGTAGCTCCGGCCATTAAGATCCAGTCTCCAGACCCAACCTCTTATATCCTGTTATTCATCACCTGCCACTCAAACACTAACTGATTATTTGCATTCACCTGCCACTCAAACACTAACTGATTATTTGCATTACTAATTACGAAACTCCCAGCTTCCCTGGTATATACCATCTGGTGCTCTGTAATACGAGCTGGGTATTTTCTTACACTCAGCTACAATGTTTTGTCAGAATGCACTAAATATTGAGGCTGTTATGTTGACAGAACCTGCAATAATATCGCGTATGTTTTCCTCGTGGACTTGTTCGCCTGGTTACCAGAGAATACTTTGCATATTTTTCAAGATACTGCAGGTGTTACGATATTTTATACAAGTGCTTGTTAATCATAGCTTAGTAGGACTTATTTCCATCGTTGTTTTAACTCGTTTCATTATGTGTAGGACATGTCAGAATCACGGAGCAGTAAGACTTGTTGTCATGACGACGACAAGCGACGTTCGTCACCACCACGACGGAGTGCGCCCGTACTTCCAGGATTCTACTTCGACCCAGTTAGTAACCGATACTACAAGGCCGACAAGAACACTCCTCCCCCTCCAACCAAAGTCCGTAGAAATTCCTCTCAGTCCTCGGGAGGACGGAGCAGCGGTAAAAGAAAGTGTCAGTGTGTAGTAGAGCCTAACAAGCCAGCAATCGCCAAGTGTCCAGGCTCTCTTCCCTCCCTTTTGTTCCAGCGACAGATGGGGCAGATAAAGAGTCACGTGTTCCAGAGAAGAGCGTTCCAAGTGTCCGCGTATGGTCTCAAGAAGCAGGTGGTAGGCAGCACGTGCCACCGTGGTACTGTGTCTCACCTCCTGGTGAACGAGAAACAGGACATCCTCTTAGCGTCCGCCAAATCAGGTCATGGAGCTGCTTTGTGGAAGTACACTGTCAGTAAGTGTGACAAATTCTACGTCCACATAAAACGAGATGAAAACGTTCTCTTCTCCCCGGTCTCAGAGATAACAGACATCAGTTTCCTGCCTCAAGTAGTGAGACCTGGCTCCGCTGCTCTGATCAGCTTGTTGGGAGGAGCAGGTCAGCACGGCCGGGTCTCACTCCTAGACCTGGAGCAAGGCTCCTTTATCTCCACCTACTATGTCTCCCAGAGTAACGTATGGTCCTGCTGTTGGAACGCTCAGGACCACCACTCGCTCTGTATCGGGGCCAGTAAAGAGGGGTATGTTCAGGACATTGTAACCAACACCAGGCTGGTTCTCTTCACCAACAAGTCAGACGTGTTGAGTATCCGCTGTGCGGCCACCTCCCCACTTGTATACACCGGGTCACGTAACCGAATGTTGATCTGTCACGACCTCCGCGCTAAGAAGGCTGCCTTCCAGATCGAGCACCAGTCGTCCGTGGGCGACATCAAGCTGCTGAGATCTGAACAAACTCTGATCAGCAGTGCGTTTAACGGTCAAGTGGTACAATGGGATCTCCGGACACAACGCCACGTGGTGGCTTACCCGGGTCACATTAACGACTACGCTCCGGTAAAGTTAAAAGTGGACGAAAGCGAGAGTCTGCTTCTCATCCCGGGTAAAGACCTCCAAACTCGGATCTGGGCTGTGGACACGGGAGCTCTGATAAACACACTGCCTCCCCCTGCTGAGGACTCCCTCATCTCCCATCACAACATTCCTGCTTGTGAGGTTGGGCTAAACTGGGGCGGCTTCTACCCTGGGTTCGCTATCGCAGCTACAGGCTTGCTGCACTGGTACTCTCTCTAGAGAGTGTAAGTATATACAATATACATCCTTACACGCAGGCTCTATTACTTCCACTCCATTTACTATTTGCTCCAGTTAGAGAAAGTTCTACTTCCCTCTCTGAATTATATGATGCAGGTAAATTATACACTGTACAGTGTACAAGTTAACGAGGAGAGCGCGTATATAATAGTGTATCGTCGTTGAGATAATTGGCTAATTAACACACAATTTAACTAGTGGCATCGCTCTTTTAAACAATTTTTCCGTAATTATAATTGGTAGCAGTACTTATGAAGGGGCTTAGTATGTACCTGGTGCATGGCCTACCTAACTGTTAGTTCTACTTTCTAACATCACAAGTAAGTAAAATGAGTTAAACACTGAAAGTTAAACAGGTGCACTATCTTTAGTATATTGGGGTGCTTTACAGTTTACACCGTCTCGAGACATCCCGCGGTTATTAAAGGGTGTTAGTGTTAGTGTTAATTGGCTTGATGACGATGCAGAGTTTTGTTTTGGGCAGATTATGATAGGTTTTACACATACATATATTAATAATATTAGGTTTTATAATTTATATATTTAACGTCAGAAGTTGTTTTGTGTTTTAAAGGACATTGTTTTGATTTATATACACTGGAATTTGTGAAGCTTTTATCCCCGCAGCACGAGCGTGTTATTATTATATAAGACCGGTTAAAATATCTCTTCCACGTGAGAAGAGAATGCTCTGAAGAATCTGCCGGCTTTGTGTTTATCTCGCGTGGAATGTGCACTCGGCAGTTATTTGCTGGTGATTAGCATCATCTCTCGGAGTGAGATCTGAAAATCGCGAGCTTTCTCACCTGTCAACATTATTTTTTGTCTTCTTTTTTGTCTTCTTTTCCCTGTCAAATCTCGCTCTCTTTCTTATCCTCGTGACAGTCTTTTTCTTTTTTTAACAATCTGACATTCTCTCTTTCTCCTCCACAATCCCCACACTTTACACTAAGGATCGAGCAGTGTCACAGCACCGTGCTATGAAACTGTAGTGTGATCCAGTGGTGGTCGAGGTACACTAAATTGTTAGACCCTCAGTGGATCGATTAGCCAACTAGTCGAGACGTAATACCGGGCTCACGTAATACTGATATATTATCATACAGCATCAAGACTAATGGAACGCACGTATAGGCTAGATCAGACAGCTTATTTACGTACATTGCCACTACTATAATTTCCACCAGCAACTTCTCGCCCTGTTCTTGAGCACTTTTTTCAGGTTGCTCCATATTATATACAGCAAATACAGCAAATTTGTCTTGAACTGTAGTATATATTCAGTCACGATCTATTTCTATCAGCACGCTGTACAAGATACATCCCCTGCCCAGCAAGGTGTATGATGCACATTAGCGCAGTGACCAGTACTCAGCTGGACCTGTATATATTGTGTAGACAGCTGCGGTGGGTGCTCCAACCCCCCACTCACTCCTCACCAGGATATGTAACTGTGTGTTACACACATGCACCGTGTAGTTAAGGTGCTTATTAAGATCTCCACTGTGGCTTAAGAAACCGAGAACCTTTTCATAAACATGGTTGTTCTTAATGCCAGCGGAGATGGCTCGAGCTCTCTCTTGGCTCTGTTCCGTACAATTAGTCTTCTTTAAGGTTGTAATTAACTGACAGTTTACTGATGGTTACGCTTCTTTGCTTTCCGTAGAATTGAGACTGTGCTTTCCAATTTACATCGCACTAAACGATGGTTATCCATGTTTCAATCTATTCCTTTTAATTTTATAACCGAACGGAGTATTATTGAAGTTCAGAATCATGCATTTGAAATTGATATTACTGATGTTTTGATTTCTTGGATTATGTCATTGTTAGTTGCTCTGTTACTTTATAATTAGCTTCGATCAATTTTTAATGGCAAAGCAGAATTCGATGAACGTATGGCAGTTCATATCAAAGGATTCCCTTTAACTAATCTTGCTTTGATCGGTTTATTAATGCCTTTTCGGTTATAACTTACGACAGTTCTAGTTACTAAGTTATGTAATTTCCATTAGTTATATTCTTCTCCGGTTATGATTTTACCGATCAAATTTATTTGTCGAAAAAAAAGGTTCCTTGTTAAACCTCTTCACAAGAATATCCGATGGTGTAAGTGTAACCATTCATATTCTAAGTTTAAGCATATTAAAAACGCGTGGGTCAAAATACAAGTAGATCGTTTAAATGACAACGTCATTCCAACGGTCAATATCGCCAAGGTTATCTCATCTTTTAAACATTCATTTACAATTAGGAAGCGATCTCTTGTCTCATGATATGTAATGTATCTATGTATGTTTATTGTTATTTAATCTCGTGATTAAAAACACTTCAGTGATATTGGGACAAAATTCAGCTTCCGGGTCCCTCCTCCTATACAATATCGAGTTTCATGTTCGTTCATATTTGTGCGTAGCCTTTACTTTTACATGTATAGTACCCGCGACAATTTTACCAAGATATCCACAAAGGAACCTTTGTACTACGCATTTCTTCTAATTTGCATTTTATTGAGATTTTTTATTAATTTATTAATTAATTGTTATGGTCCCTGACACTCTCAATGTCCCATAGTAATACAACACCGCCCTGAAGTCATGTACGTTTGATCCAATATAGTCATGAGGGTTGTACACAAAATAATCCGCCTGTGTATTCCCAGACCTTTCTCTCTTCCCTCTCTCCTTCCCTCCTCTCTCTCTCTCTTCTCCATGACTGAGTAACTTTATACGCTCTCCTTGCTGTGCCTTCTGCTCGGGCACGGCTGGGTGGGGATCATGCGTCTTTGTGGACACGGGCCTTGTTTTCGTGGCCATTTCTTGTTTTGTTCTCTCGGGTACTTGGTCACATCTTGTGGAGACTTCGTGTGCAGATCTAGTCTTTAGTTTTTCGGAGATGTTTGTTTTTCTGAGGAATACAATTTGTTGGTGTTAAGATTGTATTGATTAGAAGTGGTTCAGAGAGGTGTACCAGGCACGCCTCCTTGAGTTGAGCACATGGTCCATATCCCACCTTGGAGTAGTTAGTACCGGTTATAAATGCTACTTTACAAATGTTTGTTTACAAAAATATAGTTAAAAACACAATTTAAAGTAAAAAGAAACCTCCTCCCTTCTCCAGTTACTCATGGAAATCAGAAAATCTAACTGTTAATTTTTATCGAGATGCGAGTGTGCTAACCATAACATTTCTCTGTAGGATGTAGGCATGGAGAAAAAGGACGAACGAATATTACACTGTATGTGAACAAGACCTTTTTATTCTTAGGTGAGTTAACCCCTTCGAAATGTTAACTATTCTTCTTGATGACAAAATTGTCAGAATCGGCAGGTTTGACGTAGAATTTGATTAATTCCTCTAGCATTATTAGAATAATATCAAAAGTAAGAATATATAACACTTGACTATAATGACTCCCCCTGCCTCAAGCATTAACTCATTTTATGATTGCTGTTACTTTTAATGAATCTTTATTTTGGTCGCCAAATTGAGTGATCGGGCTATTGTTTATTAACTGAATATGTTGCATTTAAATATTTTATATATGTTCACGAAAGTATGGTGGAATATTGCCAAAACATGTGCTTCCCGCAACACATGCGTGGTTACTGGTTAGTGACTAACGTGGGTACTGACCAAGATCGCAAGGGGTTAAATTTAGGTCATACCCGAAGATGTTATGCAATGGAGTAAACTAACTTCTCTTATATTAATAAAATTGAAATTACTTAATTTCCTCCACAGTCTAGTCTATTTGTCGAGATTTGTAAGTTTGAGATGTGAAGTATAACGTCACAATTCACATACTCAACTAGATCATAGACTCGAGAATGATGCGCGTTCCCACAGCCGCATTTTTACCGAATTTTCCGCGCATTTTTTGGCGAATTTAACAGCCCTAAAAATTATAACTTGAAGTTGTAAATTGGCGAAATATTCGCGTACTTTTTGAGAACTCTAAATACGCCATACTTTTTGACGAAAATTTAGCGAATTTAACAGCCCGGATTTATTTGTATTTAACCTTTTAGAGCATTTTTGTCAAATGACCCACCTAAGACACCATTGCATTAATCCCGAAAAAAAGATCTTTCTAGAATAACACCACGACAATTTGCCAGAGGAAGGAGTCAGAATCACACGAGTGCAGCAAGATGGCGGATTTAGAGGCGGTGTTGGCCGATGTGTCCTACCTCATGGCAATGGAGAAGAGCAGAAATGAACCCTACAAGAGATCGACCAAGAAAGTTCAGCTGCCCGACCCTAGGTACCTATTACGTAGCTGGTACCATGCTATATTTTTCAACATTCATATGCATGCTCAGTTACTAGAAGGTTGATATGATCAACATTATTATCACATCACGAGATACAAAGAAAATTACCAATTTTATTTTTCAGTTGCAGAGACGTGACCTATAAGTACCTGCAAGAGAAGATCCAGATAAGCTTTGAACACCTTTTCAATGAGAGGATTGGTTACAGTATTTTCAAGCAGTACATCATGAATGGTGGCTCTGGCGATCCGGGGTCTGAGAAAGCGCTCCTTTTTTTAGAAAAGGTAAGCTATTTTTAGAAAAGGCAAGCTATTTTTAGAAAATATAAGCTTCTCTCATGAAATGCTTTTGTATGAGCCAACATGGGCCAACTCTATTTTTCCCATCAATGGCGTTAAATAGCGATTGATGTAAAAGTATTTTTTATGTAAAAGTATTTTTAGTACACGTTACAGTCCAATGAAACAAACCAAAAATAGTACCGTTGAATGACCTATTTGGTGAGAAAACACGACTCAAAAGTACTACCAGGGCCCGATTTAACAGAAATTGATCTTCAGATTAAAGATTACCAAGACATGGACTCTAACGCTCTGAGAAAACCCGCAGCAAAAGCAATATTTGATGAGTTTATCATGCCAGACTTGCTTGCTCGCGACCATGTTAGTACTGATTTAGGGACGTTGTCCAATTTATAGAAGTTATCCAATTCGATTATAGATATTACAGAATATAGATTTTACACTAAATACTTATACTTGTTTTAATCACGAGAGCAGTCTCATCCTTTCCAAAGAAAATTTTCTTGATTGGGCTCGATGAAAGGTTAGTCTTCTATGAAATGAAATGAAATGAAATGAAATGAAATGAAATGAACTTTATACAAAATAAATTTTTTATGCCATAAATTTAGGCCCTTATGTTCGACGAGGAGGTACCCGAATGTGTAAGTTGAGCTTGTTATAAAATCCCAGCTCGTTAGTAGGATTATTCTGGTTTAATTTGTTGGAACAATTTAAATTGTTTCTTTTTTTGCCATATTCACTCATTCTGGCGTACGATAAATATGCTTTTCCAATTTCCATCAATTAAACTCATTAATTAATTAAACTCATTAATTAATTACACTCATTAATTAATTACGCTCATGATGTATTTTTCTATAATCACCCAGTTTAAGATCTCCGAGACTTTTTCGGGCGCTGTCAGTGGTTTGTTTACCCCCGCAAGTTCCAACCTAGAATTGTGCAGATTTACAGATTCCAATCACCATGATCTCCTATAATTCCTGAAACATGCACATGTTTCTAACTTGCTCCCAATTCCTCAGCCGTATGGTTGGTTGGTTGGTTGTGGGTTACCCAATATAACCCCAGCAAGAACACCGGCTCCGTCCACAGATTTCAGCATCCCCTGGGGACTCCTCCCCAGAGGACAAAGTCTTTTGGGCCTTGATGTAGAAGATGTCTCCCAGCCTGGGGTGACATCTTTCTGGAAGGTATGTTTTCATGTCCAGTCATCTACCCCCCTGGAACAGTTCCGACTGCATGTTTTCTAAATAAAAGTGCATCTACAATCTACATTTATGTGCCTTTTCTCCAAGTCCATTGTGGAAGCATACAATATCATCGGAATTCGGAATCAAATTACTTCTGGAGGCAGGAATGTTATGAGGAATTTACATAAGAGTTAACAATATTTGCTTGCGCATTGCAGCTATCAATTGTAGTTATCTCACAGTCCCGGAGGCATTGCCCCCTGGGACCTTGATTATGATAACGTTTTGTCTGTTACGGAATAAGAAATGACGCTTGATAACACGAGCTCTTGTTAAGACTGTATGGTCTGGATGGGGTCTATTCCCCTTAAAACTCATTCTGTGCAAATTTATAAAGATTAACGAAATGTCCCAAATGTGTAACTGTACGTGACAGTCTTACATTTAGCGTTGCATGGATAAAAGTCGTCTCTCCCCAGTGAGATTGTAATCATTACATGTACGATTTGCATGTAAGTTTCACATTTAACTTTTTCAAGAAAAATTTGTGTCGTATAGCATTCTAGGCTATAGATTTATAATAATACTTTCAATAGTCGACACGACAATAAAAAAACAATAAAAACGTTGCATATTATGTATTCCTTGTTTATTAGGAGTATAAGTCATCAATATCACATGAAAGCACCGAGCAGTTTGTTATTTATGCATTATGCAATTTACACATAAACATAAAATATATTATCATTTATCACTATAAGTAAAGGTTTTGCATAGATTTTCTACTATGTCTCACTACAAGTACAATAGATGTGGGTTCTGTTGGGGGTGAGCTATATTTTTCGACACGTAACAGCAATTAACCAATCAGCATCCACTATTGATCAATCAAATCCCAGAATCGCTATCACATGTCAAGAAATACGCCTCACTTACCCAACAGAATCTACATCTATTACTTGATCAATTAATTTCGAATCTGAGTTTAATAACTGTAACTGTATTTTTATCTTAAGTTTATCTCAAGTTACAACTCTATCAACACTGCTACTCAACAATTTTACACTAAACACAGTTTGAGCCACTTTTTTTCTACCATGTGTATGAATCCTTACTTAACTTGGGTATAAAGGTGTGAGTCTATGCTGGCGAGACTCTGAATTCGTGGACACCATGTTATATCATATTACATTTTTAAACTAAAATTAATACATTATATTCCGAGACGTTACCTCTTGTTAGATTACATCATTACTTACTTATATTTCAATTTTGGCGTTCATGTCTCGACTCTGGTTCCTACACTTTACATTTATGGGTTTGTCTGGGATAGTCTGAGTTATAGTTATACAATGGGGTAAAATGTAGATTCTCAAGTAAAAATGAGAATTTATTACCGTATTATTTCCATGGGATTTAGAGTTCATTGCCGATGACCTCTATTAGGATTCTGTATTAAACGGAGGATTAATTAGGTAAGATGGTTAAGTCGACAGAATTCCTGGTTCATCATCCTATGAGATCTGCCTTGTCAGGACTCCGGGGTTCATATCCAACGTGGCTGGAGGTTGCCTGGAGAAAGGGGCGAAGTAGTAATCATTGGGCTTGACATAATATCTGGAATTAAATTAATTCTATGGGGAGTTTGTACTTTTTGTACTTGTAGTACTCATCTTGCGGCTTCTATGTATCGTCATCTCGCACAATTCTTTAAAATCCCCAAGAGCCGCCCATATACAAATCTCGCTGTTTCAGAGTTGGTATCGACCACCACATCGTGATCCCGATCAGGTAACATGAGGGAGTTGTAATAATAATACCACAGTTGATTGGATACTTTCAGGAATCATACGACCGTTCCATCCACTAGAAGATCATTCACATATAACATAGGCAGGCTCAGTGGGAGAGGGTTTGGAAGTACTAAATTGTGTATTTCCGTATTATGTGAACCATCCGCTAGTTAATATCAAATATGCTTTTCACATTGTATAACGGTATTTTTCGGGTTCATTCAAAGACGATTTTTCTGTTTAAACCTCGTTCATTCTGATCTGACGAGATACGATAAAGTACCGAATACCGATAAAGTACACTAAATTACCGATAAAGTACCGCTCTGTAGACCTTGATTATCTGTTCTTGATACCATACTCCGACCCTACAAGTTTAACTATTTTCCAATCTTGAACCAAACGAATCTAACTAATTTGCCTCCTCTTTCTCAGCCGTATGATATTGAAGATGCAGAAGAAGTGAGAGCGAGTCTGGCTAACGATGAGACTTCGCATGCTCTCTTCGATGTAAGAACACGTGCAATTTTATCAACCTTATCACATTCTTACAAACGTTGTTTAACTCTTTTGGTATATCGTGTATTTTTACTGATTAATGAAGAGGACATTTTGATCTCGTTGCACACCAATCATTGAAAACATCTCAACCTTTTCACCGAATAACTAGATAACTAACCTCCCCAGAAATACGGCAACTCAATTAAAGAGATGATGCTGGAACACGAGTATCCAAGTTTTGTGGACAGTAACTATTACACTCGGTACCTGCAGTGGAAGTCACTGGAGATTAACACGCGGGTACGTTTCGTGTGCACGTGCACGTATATTGCAGTGCACGTGTTTATGTGCACCTGTTCTTGAGCATGTTTTGCGTGCTTCAGTTTCAATATCTTTCTATTATTATGGTAGAGATGACCAATGAGCTATGTAGGGATTACCATGTAACCAGTAACCACTTGAGTTTGAAAATGAAGCACACAATGCGACTATGTTTATAGTGACGTAAATGAGTACCTGGATCCTTGAAATTCTAAGAATTCTGTTTTCCTACAACTCAATGATCTCATTTTCTCGAATTACTGATCCAGTGTTAATTTATTTATATGTTTGTCAATGATAATATATACAGTAAAGAAATCACGTATCTTTAAACCCAATATAAACTGAAAGTAGCTGTCAACCATCAATGCACGATACATATCAGCGATTACATACTATTGAATTAGGCGAAAAATCATCAAGATAATCAAAAGCTGAAAAGTAAAACCAACTGTAAATTACAGGTAAAAATAGAAGATTTCAGTCTACACAGAATCATCGGTCGTGGAGGGTTTGGAGAGGTGTACGGATGTAGAAAGGTCGACACAGGTGCGTTCAACTGTTTGTCTGTTCGTTTGTTTGTTAACTATTAACATATCACGTGGTTACCAGATAGGGGAATCTCTTGCTAACAAACTGTTTTATATCCTGATACCTTGATTTGCCCGACCTGTATCTCTCTATACACCGGGCAGTGTCGCGCTGTTTTGATGAAACTTGTCTGTCTTCCACCTCCACCACGTGTTTCTCATCCTCTGTGAACTTCCCGCCGAACACTTTACGCACACGTGTCTCCTGCGCGCGCTGCTCGTACGCCAAACTGAACCTCTTGATGATGATAGTCATTGGAATCGCCATCAGCAGGCTTGACAAGAAGATAATTCCCGCCGCTGCAAACTTCCCAATGGCGTATACCGGGTAAACGTTACCGTAGCCCACAGTCCCTATGACGACCACGGCTTGCCAACATGACTCCATTATGGAGTAGAACCATTCGGTCTCAGCCCAGGTAACTGTGCCGTTAGAGTGTTCAGTCGAGATGTTGTGGTAAGCTGCTCTGGTGTCGTTGTAGAGGACCACCGGGAGCTGGTTCTCTGCGAAGTAGAGTAGTGTTCCCGAGACAATTACTCCTGTGATAGTTGGTGTATAACGTGGTGTAACGTGGTTACTGCATAATGTGGTCTCAGATTATAAAGCCTTATAAAGTATTTTAATTGGCTTTATGTATCGATTTTGAGCATTCTTAACCAGTGTTTTTGATATCTTACCTAAAAGCCAGACGAAGCCAAGTAGACCAAGTTCGGCTCCACAACTCACTAAAATGTTGATTATCATCAATAGGGTCTCAGAGCGTCTAATTATCTTCATACATCTTGATATTCTGGCCATCTTTAAGAGTTGGATCCAACCCCCACTTCCTGTCTCTGAAACATCGGATCAAGTAGATACAGTTTCCAGGTCGTTAAAAAATAAGGGTTAAAAGTGCCTATATCTAAAAACGTTCTATAAAATATACTATTACTGTTTTAATCATTTTATCTCCTTGGTTTTAAGTTTACCTGGAAGATGGAAAATGTCTGCATAGAAGGGAAAGAGAGACAAAATATCGAACCAAACTGTGTAGTCCAAAATAAACTTGAGTCTATCCAAACTGAAATTTTCGTAAACAGTGAGAAAATGCCGATTGAATTTTAAAACAGATTCTAATTTAGATGTTGGTACGAGAAAGTGGTGTAGCTTAAAATCGAGGCTTTCGCTGATAAATGTTGGTTTTGATATTCAAATTGTTTTTTGTTCAGTATGATTATGTTACCTTGCCATAGATCTTAAAATGATATCAGTCGTGAAAAACACTAGACACATCCATTTCAAGGTTAATATCAGGAGTTCAAGAGAGCTGGAAGATTCTCGAAGCTTGATTATTTCCGGGTCCGTCAACAGCATAAACTGAAATGCTGATGTAAATAAATATCAAATAATCTATCGGATTTGTTAGTAACATTTTGGAATAATAGTTCAGGTGGTTTCTAGAACTGTTGAAGTAAGCCTTAAACAGACTAAATTTCTCGAGGCGTCGACAATCATTGTAAATAAAGATGCCATGATAGTTTTATCTAGAATTATTCTGGGGTTCTAACAATTTTATCCTTAGAAATTATTGGGCATTGCTTTAGATGGCTTTGGTAAAATCGTGAGAATTCGAACCTTTCTTTGGCTTTAAAATTAAAGCGATTCCGTGAATGGCTACTTATGTTAATAATATATAGCATTATGCAGCCCTTTGGCTCTCCGCAAATGATCGATTGTAATCTCTTAATTTTCACAAAATAATTTTACCTCAACTATGGAGACCAAGATGAACACTAAATCGATGTACATGTAAACTTTAGCTGCCAAGCTTGACTCTGGGTAGTTGAAGAAAGCGAAAGATTTCTCTCTGTAAGATCTGAAGTTGAGGAAGTTGTCGACTGGTTCAGTTGAACAGGATCCGATTATGAACCTCCAGCCAATCCGGTAATATTCCAGCTCCATTTCCAGCAGTTCCGATGGGATGCAATCTGGAAACTGTGGGGTTGTAGGCATATATCAAACTAGTTTTTTAGATCGTTCTATCACATTTTCTCATAATATGCTTTTACAGTTTCATCCAGATTATATGAGAACTTAATAATTCCTAGCAGAGAACGTCTTTGTAATGGATGTCTACAATATGTGCAATGTGCATGTCGCATGATAGAGGTCACTTGTTCGATAATTGTAGGAATAAAATAATCTATAAATAGAATAAGACTACTGTATACCTGGTAGAGCTTCTTATCGGATGCCATGTACTGGAGTATGTGCTCGAAAGCAGTCCTGTTTCGATCTACAAAATAAACCCCAAGTTCCGAGTTATAAAGCTTACCCATGTCTGGACTGAAATGCAATAATTCTCTTAACTTTAATTTTGAAGAATAATTCTAAACGCTTCTGAGCGCCCCAAACATCCATATACATTTTCTAATTACTTCAAGATTTGACGTCACATTGACACCAAAAGCTGTCTAGTTGCCTTATTGGTCCGATACAAAAATAGAGCACTTTATCTGGACAGTCATTCGAGGTAATGTGCACACATTTGACCAAATAAAGATCAGCTATGTGGCTATGGTAGAGAACTTGACAACCTACAGCAGAATAAATTCCCGCATAACATACCTCAACCACTAACCAGTTACCAACCAATTACTAGTTACCAGTTACCTGCAGAACAGTGATCCTGGAAACTTGTCAATCCACCTTCTCGGAATGTCAAACACAGTGCCGGACACATTAACTCTCATGTGATGACGTGGTGGCGGACCAATATCCAGATATCTGGGCCGACTGAGTCGTGTCCATCTGTCAAAATAGATAATCTTGCTGGCCAGATCTTGCCACGTCTGCTTTATTACTTCCTGGGATATGGTTCATGGTCACGTGGTTATTATGAGATGAGAGCTATCATCTATACTATATTATAAACTTGACGAAAGCAACGGGGACAAAACACTGAACATTTACCAAAAACCGACCCTTCTTCCTGACCAATTTCAGCTCGCAAATAGAGTTGGAACTTTGTGATTTTTACCAGGGTTGTAGAACAAGGACAGGAATAGAAGCCAGCATTCTTAGAATTTTGATTTAGGCTTAAGATTTTGTACAATTAACGTCGGAAGTGAGGTAAAATTAACGTTAGAATAATGGCGCTGTTTCATCAAAGGTTTCCTGCGTCGTTGCTTAGCAACATCAAGAGATTGCACGTGCGCGAGGAACCAAATGTTAGCAACGCGCGTTGTCATGTTTTATGATAGTGATACGTCATGAATAGCTCACATTAACGCTCACGCTATAACTATTCATAACTTTGGTTGTGATTGATATTTTTGATGCGGTAAAAGGTATCGATAAGGGAATTCGAATACTTATAACGTTGTCGTCATTGTCAAATAAAATCCTAATTTTCTACAGTACAGAGCTTAAAGCTAAATGGTGATTGGTGAAGAGATTACAGAAATTCAAACATAAATGATTTTTCAAATTTCCTGGAACAAAGCTTTCGACTAGCGGGTTTCTAGTTCTAAATATTCCAATCTTGATTTAAACAACGATTAACGCCCACTTCAATGAAATTCTTTTATTATGAAATATTTGAAGTAGATAAATTATAAAATGTTGATGGGATAGTAGCCACATACCTCTTCTACCTCTTCTAATTCTACTGAACCTCCATCTGGCGGGGGTTCTGGCAACTCAGGTGCACTGCCTACCCTCTCTAATGCAGAAACTGTACTTCGTAAACTTTGTTCTGAACTTTTCCGTCCTGTCTCTGAAAGAAGCTTCCGGATTTTGTCAACCTGATCTTCTGCGTTTTGTTGTGAAACCGTTTTCCCTCTTTCCTCGTGATCCCCACTAGTGGATATTACCACAATATCCGGGTTCATATTAGACTCCTCCCCGTCACTCCCCGGGCTATTCATTGCCCTTTGTCCAGCGTGACACTCCTAACGTTACTCCAACGCGAAACGGTCGCGGTTTTGTGAGAGAGACAGAGAGAGAGACGCGGTATAAGAAACGTGGGGGACCCTGAAACAATTGGCTAAAAACGGTACTTAGCAACATGAGAGAGTAAACAAGACAACTTAATATACCCAAATTAAAGTTGTATCTGTACTGCAGTGTTGTGGCAGGGGAGTGTGTAGTTAGGCAGTGTGATAGTGTGTTTACACTTGTGTTGAACTGCAATGTTGATCGTGCTGCCAGAGCCGCCGTGCCGCGCTTTTGTCACATGTTTTCACACCCGGACCCCCCATTTTCCGGAGTTACAATAAGTTGTTGGGTAGTGAGGTGGGAATGATACTTTTGTAGCTTCGTGAAGCGCGGCCAATGCGGCGAAGTTACATTACAGTAGATGGCGAGAAATACAATATAAGTTGTTGAAATCATTGTCTGGCGTTAAATGTTCGTGCCACTGTAAAATGCTGGGTTAATTTTAGATTTACCATCATATGCACGGAGTATTGCCCCGACAATTATAAAATGAAGAATCGAGATATTTAGTAAGTTAAATGGCCAATACCTACAGATAACATCATTCTTTATAAATAAACGTGGTGCAGATCTTTACTCATATCTGACAGCCCAAACCTCTCAGGTCGCATGTACGCGATGAAGTGTTTGTACAAAAAGCGCATTAAAATGAAGCAAGGTGAGAGGATGGCTGTAAACGAGCGAGATATTTTGGCTAGAGTGGACACGCCCTTTATTGTGTGTCTCAACTACGCATTTCAGACTGGAGACAGACTTTGCTTTATTCTCGATCTTATGAACGGTTTGTGGAAATTATAATACAAAAATACTGCATTCTCCTTTTGTTTGATCAAAATATAATAAACTAAAGAATGATTTATCAGATATTGCTAGCATAACACAGTCAAGGTCATTGAAAATTCGCAACCGAAGGCACTGAAGCCGACCCTCATTAAAATATGTATAAGCTGACATTCTTATCTTTGTATCACATGACTGTATGGTAATCACGTGACTGCTCAGGGGGTGATCTGCACTACCACTTAACGCAGCGGAACAGTTTTACCGAGGCAGAGACCAGGTTCTACGCTGCCGAGGTGATACTCGGTCTGGAACACATGCACAACAGGAGTATTGTCTACAGGGATCTCAAGGTACGGCAATTTCTTGTGATCCAGCTGTTCTTAACACCTCAACTTATATTAGTTGGTTAAGGATTTATCAATGTCATTATAATCAGATTAGATAAAGTGTTCAGTAGTTAATATTTATATCACGTGTTTTAATAGTTATATCACGTGATTTATATTTCAGCCAGCTAACGTGTTATTGGACGAGGCTGGTCACGTGAGGATATCAGATCTTGGTCTAGCCACCGACTTTAGCGTCAAGAAACCAACTGCTACTGTGTAAGTTCAATTTTTCCACGAAATCAACTGCAGCTGTGTATAACATCGGAGGGGAGAGATTATTAATTTCTAATGTGATTTGATCAATATCATTCAACTGACTGTGTATCCTTTTGCTTGTTGTAATTAGCGATTGGAAAGGGACACGTTTTTCGATGTAAACTGGTTCAAAAACAGTTTATTAAAAACATTTCAGTGGTACGCACGGTTACATGGCCCCAGAGGTGATTGAGAAGGGTTCATACGACAGCAGCGCGGACTGGTTCAGTTTGGGGTGCATGTTGATGAAACTCCTTAACGGGTAAATACTAAGTAGTGATCACAAGTGTTGCCAAATGAACGATATTTTATTTTGCGAATTTACATGTTAAGTCATGGTGTTAATAAATTCTATTGCTCGGGTGCATCAGAACTGAAACCTTACTCGCATTATCGTACAAGCTAGTTTTTAGCTCTTAGTTTCAACCCCAATGTTTCCCAGACGCTGTCCGTTCCGACCCCCCAAGTGCAAAGAGAAGAGCACAATCGACAACCTGACCCTAACCATGAACGTAGAATTCCCAGACACATTCTCCCCTGAACTCAAGGACATGTTGGGCAAGTTGCTTGAGCGAAAACCAGACCGACGGCTAGGATGTAAGGGCCGGGGAGCGGAGGAAGTTAAATCGCACCCCTTCTTCTCCTGTTTGGACTGGAATGCTGCCTCCAGAGTTAAATTGTCTCCTCCTGTCATACCTCCTAAAGGAGAGGTCAACGCTGCTGATGCTTTCGATATCGGTAACTTTAATGAGGACGACACCAAAGGAATTAAACTGACAAAGGAAGATGATGATCAGTACAAGAATTTCGATATCTTCCTGCCCGATAGGTGGCAGAAAGAAATAGTCGGTGAGAATCCTCCTCTGTTACTTTATTATCTATTTCCATAAACAAAGATGCATAATATTTATTTTATAATTAGTTGTTGCTTGGTTTCCCAAAGAGAGTGCTCAACTGCAAACAAGCAGGAGCATTATATTTCGAACAGTTGAAACAATCAAATTGATTGTTTCAATTGTTCGAAATAATATTTATTTAAATATATTACGGGTTATCATCAGTGTAATTAATGATAACAAACTTTGATTTCAGAGACGATATTTGAAACTGTAAACCTGGAAGCGGACAGGCTTGAGAACAAGAAACCAAAGAGATCAGCAAGCGTGGATCTCTCCGGTGACTGTATCCTCCAGGGATACCTTCTCAAATTAGGCGGTCCTTTCCTCTCCCAATGGCAGAAAAAATACTTTCATTTGTTCCCTAACCGACTCGAGTGGAGAGCAGAACCTTCGGTAGGTCAAGCTGTTTGATGTTACTGTTCTTTGTCCGGTGTAATCCAATCAGAACTAATTATCTGATCTGATAATTAACCAATTATCAGGTAGATATGTATCACTAATTGTCTCGTTAGCATTCTGTATCTCTCTCATTAGATGGGCTCACCCTACAAACTCGACTAAATTTAGTGGTACGGAAATGAAGAGAGTTCTAGCGTCAGCAACAAGATTATAGACTGGCTGTCCGGTTCTAACGAGACAGAGGTATTATACCCACCACCACCCCTCGTGTGTACATATGCATGTCTTTCTATGGGTACTCTGTTCTTGAAGTAGAGTAGTGCTCTTTTTTGTTGTGAAGTTTTGTTTTTGTCGTGAGTAGTAAATAGATTGCAGAATAATCTTGATGTCCGCTCGATTGACTCCGCGATTGTTTTAATTTGAAATTTTGAAACTACCTTTTACCCAATATGAAACAGGCCGGTTGCACTAGTCGCGGTTTATGCTGTGCTTCTGTTAACGGGTATACGGTAAGGGCATGATCAAAGTAAAAATGTTACAAAATATAGAAACTGAGGAACACTTGATGCTCCCTCAAATGATGAAGTTCATCGTGCACGCGATCTTAAACGTTTACCAATGAATGGTATTCGTTTGCACGTGCATGACCGTTACTTTTGGCTGCCAATACTTCTTCGCAACCAAGGACTAACCACCTGGTGGGTGGTCAATAAAATATGATATTCGTGGTTTTGACTTGTTGTGATGGATGTTACGTGTTTACCGTGTCGTGATCCGTATTCCGTACAATAATTTAACGTGATGTCTCCAAAATCACCATATTTATAATCCTAATTTCCCCGTACCTCACACAGTGCTCCTTTATAATATCGTTTTCCCAGCAGTATGCGAGAAATATTATGGCATATATTGGACAAGTAAATAATAAATGTTTAGTCCGCTGGAGTGCAGCGTCCGTTGATCGAACCTCTGATCATGAACATCTAGGTTGATTTTACTCTGGGAGTCTTTTTAAATGTTTTTTGTGGGAATTGCGGGATTTGATGATTTCAGGGTGTTAGATGATTTACGACATATATTCAGCTGAAAATAGACTTTTACATCAATGATACGTCATACACTATATTATAATCATATCTGTATTTACTTAAATGTGGGTGTATTTAGATTGGGTAATTTAACAGATTTTAACATAATTTGGCAGACTGAAAATGGCAACGATTCTATACAATGGCTCCTACGATAGTGTTTCGTGATATCGTGACCATGTTAAATATTTGAAATTATGGGGAGTATTGACCGCCTATTTACTACCACGTGTTTTTGGAGGGAGGGTCGATTATTTTTAGGTGGTAGAGTTCGACCGTACATAGATATAAAATTATCATAATAGTAACGTGAATAATCTCCGATCAGCGTTTAAAGGCAATTATAAACATCGATGATCATTGATAACACTGATTTAAATTTGTTAACATGAACTGAAATGATAAGAAATGTTGTTTATGAAAAGTTGATTTCCAAATTCGTGTTCAACAAATATTTTTTTAAATGGTCGACCCTCCACCATCGGTGCAGTGCATGCGTTAAAGCTAACGATCATTAAATTAGATATGGTCAATCTCGCTGGAAATCTAGTTTAACCTATTTACTTATCCACGTGACAGGTTTCAGAAATCTCCATGATTCCCTGACACACGCGCCCTAAACTTTTGTGCACGTGCTGTTTAATCAAGATCATAATGTATATGTGAATGTGCGCTGTAAAATGTAGATTTTTCACTAAACTGACATTCTTGCAGACCCTGGCGAATAACCTGATAACGATGGATGATTTGGTGTCAGTGCGGGAATGCTCCTATAAAACGTACGATAAGTGCATCTGTCTGGAATTGTGCAGGAACAAGAAATCTTCAGATATTTACCTCAGAACTGAGGTACACTTTCAATTACCTCTCGCAAATATTTGTCTGTTATTTTAAAACTTCATTTCCAGAGGTGGCTATGCACACTTTTGTATTTCTAACTAAATTTTATTTCTTGGCCCACATTTATAACCAGACAAACTTTTGTTTATTGGTATTGGGTATATTATTTTTTATTTTCAATGTTGCGCTTCTCATTAAATTGATCGTAGCCGAATATCACAGTATGAAGTCCGAACCTATAGCTATATTCATCTTCTCTTGTTGATTGATAGCTGGTCGGTGCCTAGGTAGCCAATCAGACTCGACCCTTTCTTTAACAGTTATTTACCCTGTCACAGAACGAGATAGAGTTCGATCAGTGGTTCAAGCACCTGTCGGCCACCCTAGAACAGGCGGTCCAGATGTTGAAACGCGGAGGGAAGATGCTGAGGTCTGTCAACTCCTCCGAAGGTATGTACAAGTTACACTCCCCGTTCGTAGAACAGTGAATCCCTTACTTATTATCAGCAGATATTTTTAGCACTTTCAGTTCGTAAGTTTCTATGTAAAGTTGGTGTAGTCAGCATTTTTTCTCCACTTTCGAGGCTTTTCGGAGTGTCGAGCATTTGGCAAGGTGTATCTAGAAATATCCTCTACATTTTAATTATTTCTCATTTCCAAGCCAATTAATGTGTATTGTGTAAGCACCAATTGAGCACTAGATAAAATGCTTACCCGGACATGATCGAGGAAGCAACGTAATAATAATGACCTGAACCCATCTCAAAATACTCCCGATTCCTAAAGCCCACTTGCACTTTTTCACATCCTTAAACAATAGACATTTTTTACAAATTCTCAGCAGTTCAATACGCGCTAAACGGACAATTTAAGAAGGTTCTAGAATATTTTAGAAGGATTTGAAAAGTTCTAGAAGGATTTCGAAAGTTCTCTCATCCTCACCACCACTTCAAGGGTCTCGGTCACAAGAGTCTCGGTCACTTTTCCAGCTGGTTCTGGGTTACTTGCCCTTCACTGTACCGTCAAATTGGAGTTGAGCTTACTCTTTGTAATGATGAACTCACATAGATGTGAGTATGTGGCACATCGATCTCAAAATTATGGAGCATTATTTAATCGATTTTTGGGCTTTGCTTTCTGGCCCAATTAATCCAAATTATATAATGCATTTTTGAAATTCCTGCGGTCCGTGACCCAATCGAAATTTAACGAAGGTCGACGGTAGCAGCCTGGTGGAGTCTTTTAACTTGCACTCATTCAACTATCGTGGTAATAGTCGGATGTTTAAATGATCTTTAGCGATAACTCATTACTTCAGTGTCGCCCGTATAACGCGTCACTTATAAAAGAAGATATAGATTATAAGATTATCGCTTTACGACTAGGTCAAATTGCTTCGAGATTGCTGCAAGAGAGTTAGCTCAGTTACAAATCACAGTTCCTTGAAATGACAAAATACTTAGACTAATTTATCAACTCTAAAAAGCAGGGCTGTGACAGCTCAACACTTTGGTCGGGCATAGTTAAAGAGTTAACCAATATAATATGAAGAACCACTAATTCAAGCTCAATATGAAGAACCACTAATTCAAGCTCATAATGTAATTGAGAAACCAACGCGGAGGCCCTCTGGCCACCGTTACCAAAATTTAGCATTGCAACGCAAAGGCAAGCAGATAATCAAATGATACTTGACAGAGAGCGTGGCTACACATAATAAACAATGCGACGTTCAACATAGTTCTGCTTAGTGTTAGGTCTTTAAATCGGAATTACAGAATTAGTGGTTATTTTTATGGATGGACTAGACAGAAAACCATTCCTCTCTCTCCAACGGGAACACCATTTCTCAGTATTGCAATATTTCTTTAAATAGATTAAGTGATAGTGAAGCCCTTGCTATCAATGTTAAAATCGTGCCCAAATTACAACCTGGTTCGGCCCGACCGACATCAAACCATTTTCTCTACGGTCACCTGCTATTTGAGAAAATACCCGATGGTCGGTCTCGGTAGATCAGCTCCAATTTGTTGCAGAGACCAGAGCGTCACTGCGTCACGGGCTGGGCATGATGGCGGGTCTCTCGCCGCTAAGTGAAGGAAGTGAGTCACCGCTGTTCAGTGTTTGCTGTATTTGGTTTGTACCACCCAGCTGGCCATGATATAGTTTAGATTGCTTTCATCATCGATAGAAAACCACCATTGTGAACGTGTAGCTAAAACTTATAGGTTTAGGTTTTTTGCGCGTCTGGAGTGGCTTTAAAATTATCGGAGCCAGCTAACTAAAATTTCCAGCTCTGCTATAAAGTAAGCTAAAAAGTAAACTGTCGCTATTTTATAACATTACCCTTTTGAGGGATTATTACCTTGCCTGGTCAGTAGTAGCACACGGCAACGGGAAAACTTTTGAACACCCAGCTTTTATTTTTCAGTCCCCTATTCAGTTCAACATTGAGTAAAGTAAGTTGTATAGATGGATATATGTAGAGTAAATGTGATTTGCGAGGCTGTATGTCGCAGTTATTATCGGATAATTGATATTATCGTGTCACGTGCTGTCTTGATAACATGTCATGATAAAATGTATGTTTGTTTGTATTTGTTTCCACGTGCTTATACTTATCCGTGTTTCTTCTTGTTTGTAATATATGTTATTTGTGTTTCATATTGGCTTTAGAAAGTAAGAGCAGCAGTTATAGATCTTTTTAGTTATTTGGAACTCAAGATGAGTGCAAACAAAGAGCCATTCATGATCCAAGAGACATTTTATGAAAAGTGGAAAAGTATACAGTGTGGTAATATCTTTTGGATTATGTCAAATGTTCGTTCAGATGTCTGTTTCCATTGCCCAACTATTGCACAAAAATCCCATAGTTTAATTAAAAAAACGCTCATTAAACCTTGATATAACCTAAACTTATCATTTTCATGATTCATCCCTTCTTAAGAAATTTATCATTTTCGCAGAAGTCAGAATTGAGAATAGTCATAAAAATTAATATTTTGACAGCTAGAAATCCGTCTTTTGAACTGAAATCCATCAACTTTAGACTACAAGACGTTATCTTGTCGGTGCTCATGACATCTCACTGCTATTCCAATGATAACACTTGTTATATCACGTGATAACACGTGATTTCCACGTGACGTGAAGTATCCATCATAAAATGAAGCTCCCATCAGTTACTCTCCGTGTCGAGGCTAGAAAATCACGACGGAGTACACGTAAATCGAAGCGATGAAATGAGTAAGATCTCTGAAATAACCGTGTAACCATGGTAACCGCTTTTACTGCACGTTCGTTTTTTTTAAATAGAAATGTGCCAGTGACCAATGAACATCGATTTATCTCCAACGAAGAATAAAGGCTCTTGTTATTTGTTAGCTTTTAAGGATGCTTTTTTACCGGTGTTGCGAGTTCGTGCTTGGTTACTTTTGAGTTTTTTACAAGTTATATTACACCAGGAAAAAAAACAGTGCTATTCTCCTCTTTCGTATTTAATAAAATGTATTCGAGCTGTGTTTCTGTTCGGTTTCGTGTTTTTAAAAATTTGAAAATAAGCCCTCACTCAAATACACACACTCACACACAACGCGCGCATGCTCTTCCTCCGCATGTTCCAACTATTCCAATAACAACCAAGCTGTGATCATTGTTTATTACGTTATTTCAGAAGTAGAACTCATTGAATAATGATTTCGTCTAAATGTTTGCGTAAGTTGTGAAGGGTGTTCTTTATTCTTTACTCCACCACCTGTTTGATAATCTGATTCATATATTCATGATTATTTGTTCAAATTTTCCCGAAAATAAGTTAAAAATCAATTCTTGAATTTTAAATAATTCGGTGTGTTTTTTTTCACCTTTGATAATTATAATACGAAAGCTGCTCGAAGTCCTAAAAATCTAAACGATATTCTTTTTTAATTTCCTGGTTCTAACTCTGACTGAATGATACTTACATCAGATTTAGGACCATTTTTAGCTTCGGATCCTCACAGAGTTAACCGTATTCCGGTTAAGGCTTGCTTTTGAGCCAATATATCCTGCTGTTCAGATATTATATTTCTCATTATCAACTATAGATAAAATTGGGTGCAGTTTTATTTGTATTAACACAAATTTCACATTAAAATTCCAATATCTACCGCATTTTTCTCTACCTGTTGACAAATACCATTGTCTTTCTAAACGAGAGACACACAGAAAACCCACATATTAGAACTTGTTTAACATATTGAAAAAGTTGCTCAAACTAATTTTCCTTTTCAGATGGAAGAGCTACGTTTCGGAAAAACTCATAGAGACCCGATCAGGAGTACAGAAGCAACCATTTCCCCCGATCATCTTTTTAGCTCAAACAAACAATTTTAAGGGTATATTTTTGCTGTCATTTTCATCCGCACAATTCATCATTTAGCGAGTTTAGTTTTACCCCACCTCAATCTGTAGAGTTAGATTTTCAATTATATCTTACTGATGAAGAGGTGCTCCGGTCTCCCTCAGTTTGAATTAAGTCTTCGATTTTCTTATGAATTTTACTGAAATTAGGTGATTGTTAAGCCTGATATTGGAGCACTGATCCTTCAACCTTATCCTTGAATGGGATAAGGTTGTGGGATCGCAGTCGATGGTGGAGGTACCACCAACTGAACGTCATTTACATTTTCCAATTTTGGGGAATGTTCTGAGAGTTGTGACTCGTAATGTTTTTATATCGTTTCAGTTCGACTACCCAATTATTTTAATATGAAACCGTATTCGAAGCTTGGGCCCGTGTCGTTTAATAATTCTTTTTGAGTTTTTTACGGTGGCCGTGACAAGACACGCAAAGAACGTGACGTATTATTATGAGTTATTAACGTTGAGAGTGTAAGATTATGGATTCACATTTTTATTCGCCTTTATTTTGCTACTGCTATTCCCTACCTCTCTTATCACCGAGTTTTGTTTTGCTGAACCAATAAAGCTATCAAGTTTCGGTACTTCTCTAGAAATCCTGTTATTTTCCTACCCATGCACTTCGCCCTTTCCCTCCCTGATTTCAACGTCTTGGTTGGCCCATTTTTAGGTTTGTAAATTTACAAACCTAAATTTTACACACCGCGTGGTGTGCACTGCACAACAGGTTTTATTTTCTCTCATGACATTTTTTCTTTTACGGTCTCACCGATATAATGTACAAAATTTGTATGATGTATGTAAAATTAATCATGATCATTCATCACTAACGAAAGTGACCACATCAGTTGACAGGCTGTAAATGTGAAAGTAAGTTTAAGTCCCTTCAATCAAAGTACTGCAATGTTAAGAGGATCAGAGCCCTAGCTGGAACAACAGCTCTCAGATTTGGACCAACTAAATTTCAATATTTGAACATCTGGTTATAAACCTATACTTTCGCCTCTGCCAGCCTTAATCTATTGGTGTGATCATCCTCATGTTATATTCTTAAAGAAATTGTGACGGTTTTTCTGATGACGCATATATTTGAATGTCCTCGTGTTGCAAAGAGTAAAGAAAAAGTAATTGACGAATTAGATTTATAATTATTGAGTATCATTGGATTTCGGAAAGTTTTCACTTTTGTTATCATGAAAATGAATTGAGAATTATCTCATTGTTGAAGTATATGTATCTAATTCCAGTTTAACTTTAATTGCTGAACAGAAAATATGTGTTTTACTTTAGACTTGTTAGATCACATAATATGTAATGATATAATATCTGAAGATGGTGTAATTGTAAAATTATTGCAAGAATTTTACCTGAAACGTGCAGCAAGATCAAAGATATTGTGCAATTGCTCCACAAATGATGAAATATTTGCACCTTGTACGACTTGAAGTTGTGAGTGGGAAGGTTGCAGAATGGTTGCAGAAGGTTGCAGAATGTGCGAATGCAGAATACAGATGCAATACGCACTACAAGATGGGATGAAGTCGCCGTGCATAATACATGTGGCTGTCCATATATAGCTATGTCAATGACAATAGCACATTGTCATAATATCATGTGCGTGGCGGCTTTTACTTATTCGCTCGACCTAAATTTTCACGTGACTCTGGTTTTTAATTTTATGGTTTTGCAACCGAACAAAACGGTTTTACATGAACTTGACATACGTTGCATGCCACTTTTCGCGCGCGAAGGGATACGTAACATGTATCAAACATGAACCCTTATCCCAACCCTAACTATAGCGGCCCCGAGGCTTAATTGAGACTCTTACTAATTCGCTCGCCAAAAAATTATCATATGAGTTTGGTTTTTATGGTTTTGCAGCCGAACAAAACGGTCTTTTGAGACCGTTTTTTACTCATAGGTTTTTCTATTTTATGCCATTGCCCCCCATCCTAACCATAACCCGAAGCTCTCCGTAACAGGATTGCATTATTGGATGCGCGGCCCAGTAGTTTAGTGCTAGCCTGCACTGTCATTCCGCCAAATCTCTATGATCATGATTCAGATTATGAACATAAATATAATAGCCTGTTAATTGTTAATTGACGATGTCAATTCATCGCAGCTCAGCGAGTTGCTCTGACCAGAGCCCTCTCGCTTGCAGTAGCGCGCGACCGCCGAAGTGCGAAGGCGGCAAAGGATATTCTACTTGTGAAACAAGCGCGTCAAGCAGCACGTTGTAGCGCGATGCACTACTGTGTACTGGGTCGCGTGCGCATCCAATAATGCTTCTCGCAACCACAGATCGGCGATTCGGCGAGATGTGAAGGATTGACATCGTGAATCAAGCAGTACGCGTATACACATGGCTATGTGAACTCGGCGAGGCACAGTTAAGTAGCGCATTTCGTTAATTGACGATGTCAATTCATCTCAGCTCGGCGCGGCACAGTAGCCAGTAGCGCATTTCGCCGATCTAGAGAGAAGCTGTGAGAAGCCTCATTGAGTGCGCGGCGCGGCACCGTAACGCATCGCGCTACAAAATGGCGCACGTTATATCTCCGCCAAAAGCACATTTAATTTGATACGTATGAAATATGTCTATAATTTCCTTGATTATGCACTTAGTTGGCGTTCCCAACCAAAATTAAAATTGAACGGGGAATCGTTTAAAATCATTTTCGAGGCACCTCGACGAAAGCTTATTATATATCACGCTATTGTGCTTTTTATGGAGAAATACGTCAATAAAGTTTTTAAGCTTGTTTTTCTCTTTCAAAAGTATCCCAAGTGATTTGTTTTAGTGAATATATTAACTCTGAATACATTGCAATATAATTTATCTCGATTCAGGAAGTTTGAAAGAAGTTACAGCAATGCGCGCAATTTGGGGAGTGTGCTTTTGGCGGAGATATTAACTGCGTCCAACAAAATAGCCTGGGATCCCCATCTAACGACTTACATGTTTATACAACTTAGTGCAGAATCAAGCAAGTTATAAACATATATTTCATACGTATCAAATTGGATATGCTTTCGTTGGAAATGTAACTTCAAACCTGCACCATTTATAAATCAAATAAACTTAAAGAGAATGCGAGCAGCTCGAAAAAAGCGCCGCGCATGTTGGGATTGGCGTGCTAGGCAATAATTTCCCGTATAAAACATAATTACTTATCCTGTTTGTTCATTGTTACACAATTACTAATAAAGTTTGTGTAATAGGCGTTAAGACTAAATAAAGGCGTTAAGACTAAGTAAAGAGTTGACACAAAAATCATATACGCCGACGTGAGTCGAGAAAATTATAGCCGCCTTTGAAAAAACTTAACTGTCGTTTTTGAAAAAAATTATCGCATTTAAAAACAATGATCTGTATAGTATTACTAGGCCGCGCTCAGCATGTCATTCAGCCTGATCTTTGATTCACGATGTCAATCCTTCGCAGCTCTGTGAGGCACAGTGGTGCATCTCGCCGATCTACCGATCTACCCAATAGTGCATCGCGCTACATAACAAGCCTGATCTCTATTGATCGGTTTGTTTATGAACATGATAGCCTGAGTAGAGGTCCCCAGGTAATAATCTGTATAGTTGATAGTAATTATTTTGCTCTAACCAGAGCCCTTTCGCTTGCAGTAAGGCCAGGGCGTCACGCAGTACTGAGTACGCGTATACACATGCAACATGGCTATGCGAAGTAATTATTCTTTGATTTGGAAAATGAAAATCGCGTGCCGCGCTTGTAACTCAAATACTATACAAAGTAGCTAGCACCGGACCTCTGTTATATTCGCGTTGGATAAATGGCATATCTTGCTCGAAGTGTTAACCGCGCCTGATATGTTTGTCTGCATGTAGGCATGCATCGCATGCAGTATCAGTTAGAGTATGGCCGATCGTAACCAATAAGGCGGGGACCGCTACAATAAAATAACTGTCAAATAACTACCGAGTCAATTTAGTCTATGCCAACTCATATTAGAGATAATTTGCTAATCCGGTAGTAGGCAAGGCACGGCTTCAATCGATTTTCGGCCACTGTACAACAACCATGCCGTATGCATCAATTTAGATAGACTCAATTATCAAATTATGGATAAAGAATGGGGTTAGCCTATTGTGCTATACAGTTTACTTCGTAAACGGTTAGCCCGTGAACGTGTCTTGAACTTTGTAGATACATTATAGAATTTGTCCAAATTTGTTGTGAAGTAAAAAAACTCATTTTAATCATGGTAATTTGATTCTGAATAAACGGTACCTTAATAAACAACAATACGTATTAACAATTAGGTTTAGCAAGTTAGAAAAATCTTTTAGAAAAACAGCTGTCATCATCTAAAAAAGTTTTTCATAACCAACTGTAGGGTAAAATATCTACAGCATAAGTTCCTCCAAATCATCGTCTTGATCATAAGTCTTAACTGGGATCACGTTCTTCGATTTGCTGGCCCTCCTGTTGAGGATCGGCTTGTGATCGAGCGAAGCTTCAAATAGTCCATTTCGTTCGCTCGTAGATGCCCGACCGGTTGGTGTCCAGCCCTTATTATTCGAACTTTCCCTCGAAATTCTCTGATTGTTAGAAAATGATGGGGTATATTCACTACCATTGTTTATTTCAACCCCAAAAGGATCAGCCTTCCCAATAACTGGTTTGGAGGTAGCGAAAGAGGGTTGGTACCCTCCTGTCAGGTCGTCGTCAGAGCTCTTTTTCCTTCTGTTAGTGTTAACATTGTTTAGAGCAGCGGTTTTCCTGAGCTCACCTCCGGATCCTGATTTCCGTGCAGTGCGCTCTATTGGTGCCGGAGCAGGAGGTGACGCGGCATTTGACTTCACAGATTGAGCCGGGGAGACAACTGGGGTAGCCTTCTTGGCTTTTAGTTGGGACATGAAGTCACCACCTGCATTTGCTCTGACGGCTGCAAGTTTTTCTTTCAGAGCATCATCTTTCGCCTTACGTTCCAATAAGAGCCTCTGTTCTTCTGCTTTGCTGGCAGCTTCTTCATCTTCAATTTTCTTCGCGGCTGCTCTAGCTTTCTCGGCCTTCGCCTCTTCCGCTCTTTTCTTCTCTTCCTCAGCTTTTCGTGATGCTTCTCTTGCTTTACGAGCTTCTTCTTCAGCCTTTCTAGCAGCTTCTTCAGCTCTTCTTGTTGCTTCCTCAGCCAGTCTTGCTGCTTCAGCCTGATTTCTCTTTTCTTCTTCTTGAGCGAGTCTCGCTTCCTCTTGGATCCTATTCTGTAGCTCGGATTCCGGAGAAGGGTCGGGTGGAGTGAATTCTGTATCAGCTGGGCTAGGGGCTTTTGGTGTTGCCACTTTGCTCGGTTTTGGAGGAGGCGTTGGCGATCTTATTTCCTCGTCCAAGTCCTGAGATATAGACAGATCATGTATAATTTAATCCATCAGTAAAGAAGTCTCAACCCCAAAAAATATATATGATCAATGCGTTTCTAATTGTAAATAGTTACAAAGCGGAGACTAAATTGTATCTGAAATGACATGCTATACTCACGTCTTCAGAATCTGAAGCCAGGGTGGAGGGGGACCTTGGACGCGACTCGACGGGAGAAGGTGACTTGGCAGGAAGTTCTGGTGATTTCTCCTCCTCTAAAACTTTTTCCAGATCAACCAAAGATTCCGTTCGCTGGTTCAATAGCTCCAACTCTGATTCTAGTCTTTCTAAGGAACTGAAAATAATCGAGTTTCAAATCCAAGTTAGAATGTTCCAGATTCAACAAAACATTTGATGTCTTGATAAAATTTCATAATGATTCGGCTGGGCAATTATACCATAGTAAATAGCAAATACCTTAGAGCAGAAGTTGATTTGACAGACTTTTCCTCTTTCTTCTCAAAAGGCAAAGCAACCGGCGTTGCAGTAGAAACGTAACTATTAACGGACAAGTTCATGTTAGGGTTGGACTGTGTTGATTGACCCGGTCTGTAGTTGGAACGTTTGGAGCTGATCCTGCCTCTTTGAGCGTATATATTCTGGTTACCCAACTCTTTCTCTTTTGCCTGGGATACATCATGTCATAATCTTATAATTATGTTTTAATAATGATAACACGCTAATAACCTCTAGACTCCCCCCTCAGTAAATACGAGAAGATTCCTGATGTTTAAATGATCGTCTAGACTCTATCTTTAAAAGCCTAGATACACTTAATGCAGTCAAATGAATCTCACGACTTATATATTAAACATATCACTTCACGCAGTGTATAAATTGTAGCTTGATAATGTGAAGCTGTTGATAAGATGAACTTCTCTCCAAGCAACAAATACAACATGTTTAAGAGCTAGCAACCTACACCCCATCATGCAATGGTGGCATTGCCTGCACGTTGTTTTTATTCAGAGCTCAGACAACTTCCAGCCCAAGTTAAAGACTCATGATTTTGATCGAAATATTTTATTGGAGATTATGGAGATATTTTAAGTGTGAGACAAAAGATAATTTAAATTCAATTCAACTTCTGAAATAAAGCAACAAAAAGTTGCCGTTAATCGGGTAATCTAATAGAATATTCAGATATTTAAAAATGGCGAAACAAATAGTTCTAATACATGTAACAAGCAAAGCTGATCAAGCAAATTATCGATCGCAAAATCACGAGCTTACATCATATGAATCATATCAGAGGATAGTCGTAACCATATGAAAATCACGAACGTATCGAAGATATTATCAGGATTTCAAGATTAATAAGACAACCTAGAAAAAAAAGTAAACCTTGTATTTCAAGAAGAGTTCGTTGTAAGCGTCCTGAAGATCTCTTAGGTTGTTTTGAGCCTTCTTTAACTGTAACTGGTTACCTTTAACTTCCCTGTCAGCCGCTTTCTTGTAAATTTCTACTGCTTTCGTCAGATCCTGCAAATAACAAATCATTGTTTCCAGAACTTTTACACTTCTAGCGGTACAGTGTGATATTTTAACTTATATTTAACTGATTTAAGTCTAGTGGTTGGTGTGGGAACCAGCTGTGTTTTCTATGGTTGTCATGGCGACCTCGGAATAACTTCACGAAACTTCACGAAACTCCTGACAGAAATGAAATATCTTTCACCGTTTTGCAACTATTTTAAGAATAAATCGTGGATCACTCCCTACGAAATTAAATTATATGTTATCTTGTCTAATTGGCCAGCCAGGTACTTGAGGTGAATATCACAAAAAACTGGTGTAACTTTTGACGACCATTCGACCAACTAACCATAAAACTGTCCAGTAGATCTCAAATCCAGCAAGTAAATACAAGCCAGAGTCAAAACTTTCAAAGTAACTTGATCGAACAAAATGAAGACGTACGGCAACAAGCCGTGAGGTAAGCATGCAGATTGCAGCTTCATGCTACATTTCATCTAATTAGCTAATTAATTGAATACTATCACACGAAGAAATACCTGTATTTTATTTTCCTGGTGAGCGATCGTGACTCTGGCGGTTGTCAACTCTAACTCTAGTTTTTCTCGCTCGCCAAGTTTTCTGTTGTTTGCTAAAGTCGTCATTTTCTTGTTCTGTTCTTTTAGCCTGGAGGGGTGTTATTTATTGAGAGAAATGTCAAAAAGAAGACGAAAATCAACAATGCACAGCCAGAAACATAATGGAATAACTCAATCACGATATTCCGAAAAATAAAGTAACATTTGAAAAGAAAGGCACTCACGATATGATTTCTTGATGTTGCCGTCTCAGTTTGTCATCCTGTTCCCGTTTTTCGAATAGTAACTGTTTGTTTTTTGCCTTTAACCCAGCGATCTCATAGTTATTTGCGTCCAGTAACCGAGGTAAGTCCTCGTCAGGGTTATTATATTTGTCCAACTCCCTCTCTTGTCGTTTCTGAAGGAGCCAATTGTTAACTGTTGGACTTATTTTAAGACGCTAAGTTTACAAAACACTATTCATATTGTTCAGAAGAAAATAGAATTCGTAGTCGGTCGAGCTAATACAAAAGCCCACACATCATTACTGTTAGTGTTGCTAATTCAAGATGATGAATGTGCTATTAAACAACAAACGTGCAATAATACCTGTATTTGCTTGAGGAGCTTGTTTTCTTTGAGTATCTCATCGTAGTTGACGGAGAGTTCCGAGTACTGGTTCCGGAGACTCATATGCTGACGACGCTTTGAGGACTGTACCCTTCCCTCGACCCGTCTCGGCATTCTCTTATCTGCAATGTATCACGTTTTAAATATGTAACGTGTCACAAATCACTCAAAACGTGTCCTTTGTTTCACCTAAGCGCGCTATTTAGCTATTATGCAATCAGATTCAGGATTGTGCCACCTCGATAATTTGAGTACGTGATTCTGCATGTTCGTAGCCACGTGGTAATCGTTTGCTCAATAAAGTAAGAAGCACTTAGACATTAGGCAACTGTGTACAACTGTATAATTCGAGGCGTCAAAGTAACATACAATTAAAGAGCTATAACTATATCATTCATACTATGAGTACAACAAAAAAACGTTACCTAATTTGCAAACTAAGTTGAGAACTACAAATATCAGTTAAAATTTTACAGATTTACTGACTATTAAGGTGGCTCCTTAGTCCGAGAAAAGAGCAAGCACGATAAAAAACACAAGGAGCTAAGTAGAAGAGAACGTGGAATTGTTTTTCTTATTCTATGCTTAACAACTGTCCAGAAGATGACCAGTGACCACGAGGACTAATAGCTGATTCGGCGGTTAAAATTGTAAAATTCTAGCTTTTAAAAAACGATTTTAATGCCGTTTCTTACCGTGGATAATGTGACGGTACGGTTAATAAAATACCAAACAAGCGCAGTAAAATTTACCCTGTTCACTATCCTCATTGTCCTCTGGTTCCTTGTCCTTGTTCATGAACTTTCTGAGCGCCTTGTTAACAACCAACACGTTCCTGCTAAACAAGCTAGCTTTGAACTTCAACATGGGCGGTTTAGCAGGGTTATGTTTCCCCGGCTCATGTTCCGGGTACATGTAGTTCCGCTCTGCGTTCCCTATCTTGTTCTGGATTATAGCTTCCATCTCGTCCTCTTCCCCATCTAAATCGTCCTCGTCCGAGTATTCTAACTCGTCCACAGGAATGGGTGCTGGGTAGCTCTCGTCCTCCGTTTCTGGGGTTTTCTCCCTCCATTTGATGTGATTTTTCTCTGCTTTTACTGGGACTTTCTTTTGAGGCCGTCCGACTTCGTCTAAACTATTGCCACGACTGTCAAGGAGGGGCCAATTGGATATATCCTGTGTCTTGGGAGGGGCCTGATTCTCCATAACGTTAACATTGTTCAGCGTTAACATGGAAACTGTTTCAAACAAATTGCAACAAACTTAATTCACACCGGCTAACATTAACACCAGCCTAGATTTAGAATGGGAGACCAACAAACATCGTCATGGCAACCGTTGTATGCACCACGCTAAATCGGATTAGGGGACCAGTATTGATTCATTGCCTCATACCATAGGACCGATCTTATTAATGACAAAAAGACATTAGCAAGCTGAATTATTTCAGCTAAATTATCAATAGCCAAAACTAGTGGCATTACTTGACGAATTTGTCGTAATGACCATGAACTTGTGCATGCTAACAACAATAAATATTCAATTTATGTAACTTGAACTTTAAAGTGAGGCCTACATCGGCTAGAACTCGGGAAAATATCTTATACTGATCGAATATATCCGGCCTAATTCGATGACTTATCGAATAAAGAAATTGCTGTGACCAGATTAGCTAAAAATAACGTGTTTTCCCCAATCAGGGAAATTGAAGGCACCTGTCTCACTAAATTATTGATACGGAGCCAACATTACATGTGGGATGGCATGTATGCAGTCCAAGAAGTATCTAGGGAATAGGAATCAGGAAAAGTCGTTAAATTGAGATACCTAACTAACAGTTGTAATGAGCAAAAATATACAGTAGCTGTGTAAAGCTATAAATACCATACATTTCAAATAGCTGTGTTCTTAAATCCTCATACATTATAGTTTTCTTAGTAAGAGTCTAGTGTATTTATATTTTGAATCGATTTTACTTAAAGTACGAAAGTGGAACACAGTCCATAATGAAATAGTAGAATACTGAGTAGGACCAGCTTAGCCCATGGAAACAAGGGGAGCTCCAATTTGTTCTGGAAATATATTTCAGATTTAATCAGGTTTTACCCTTTGATAAACTCGTGACTCTTCTCAGACCCGGATTCCACGGATTCCACGATGTTTTGGGTGATTTAATGAAAAACAATATATGAGTTAAGTCTGAAGTGGTTACCAGAATGATTAAATTCAGTTACAAACGTTATTGAACAGATTAAGTTCACACGCTGGCTAGCAATCGTAATTTTGTTGTCTGCAGAATTTTGATTACGAATTTTACAGGAATTTCAAAGGAATTTTACAGGCCGACGGCATTTTTAGGCGTTTTTTAAGACTAACACAGTTCCCGAAACTCTATGGAATAACAAAATATATGGCAGGAGATTATATCGGTATCATTGGGGTTTGGGAATGTGACATTACTTTGACCATTTCAACACTGAAGCGAACATAAAACGAATATTTCGAGCCTTAGTTACAAGGGAGCGGCCGTGTCATGTTTTCCGGATATATCAGACCCTCTTACAGGACAATTGAAGATTTTTTATTAAATACTTTTCAAATTTTACAGAGTACAGCAATAGATGAATATAAAATAGAATCGTTCAAAATATCGCCCCCATCTGTAAAATATGATGGGCACCCAAACACGGTAAACACATAGTGAACTATGTCCGCAGTAACTTGGACCCATTACATCGAATTAATCTAAATCCAAAAATTTATGAAAAACTATTTAATAACAAACAAATCCATGGTGAATAACTGTGGATATAGAGTCAAAATTTGTATTTCAATACGTCAAATTCCAGATACATTAGATACAGGTCTGAAATGGTCATTAATGTGTGAGAAGGTGTGCGGGTGAAGTGTGATATGATGTTGAAAGTATAGGAAGGTAGATTTTTAAAAAATTAATAAAACAAAAATAATAATAATATGGGGAGCAAAGAGACTAGGCTAGACTGTTGTTTCACTATCCAATAAACATTTCCATAGATGCTTAGTGACCTCAGCTTTGAAAAGACTAGTAGACACAATCTGTCTTACCTGTAAAGGGAGTCCATTCCACAGTATATGGGTTCTGTAGAAAAATGATTTTGCCAGTGGGCTATTTGAGGTACATGTGGTGTGTGAATTCTGACTTAACTTAGGTAAAATTGATGACACAATAGACAGACTGTCGAGGTGGCAACGTCTTAGTCGAGAAGTGCCCTGATATAAAGAGAGATAGTGAGGCAGCGATACAGGAATTAAATTGTTAAGAACTTTGTGGAAAAAAATAAGATCATTCAAGTCAAACTTTTGAGACAAAGGGAGAATGTCGACAAGCTTGCACTTTTTGACATATTGCTCAGGTGGATAACTGCGGCCCTCTTCAGACAGAATCCATTTAATAGCTCTCTTTTGGAGACTTTCTAATTTATCACTAAGTGATTTATTACAAGGGCGCCAGATTATGGAACAATTTTCGAATTGGCTACGAACCAGGGAGAGGTAAAGCGCCCGGCGACGTTTCTGATCAATGACAATATGGCCATCTCTTCTGACCATACCAAGTTGTTGGCAGGCCTTAGTATAAATTCTGTCGCACTGACTATTCCAACTTAGCTTAGGAGTAACATCGACTCCAAGATCTTTTTCTAACTCTACATACACAAGAGGAGAGCCATCAAGATTATATGCGAATGGAGGAGATAAAGATGGTTTTCCTGAAACAATAAGCACTTTACATTTTGCTGGATGGAATCGCATTTTGTTTCTTAGTGCCCAGTCAGAGAGATAGTCTATATCCATTTGTAAATTAGTATTATCAGAAGATGAATGTATTTTACGCCAGATTTTTGTATCATCGGCATACAAAACAATATCAGTATTATCCGAAAGGCCAAGAGGAATATCATTGATAAACAATACAAAAAGTAAGGGACCAAGAATAGAGCCCTGGGGGACACCAGAATTAACTGAGAGGGTAGATGACATCTCATTACCAATAACCACTCTTTGGTAACGGCCTTGAAGGTAATTGGTAAGAAATTTGAGAAGTGTACCATCAATGTTATATAAGGTCTTTAGCTTATGAAGAAGGATATCATGATTTACAGAATCAAATGCCTTAGCAAAATCAAAATACACAACATGATTGATAATGTTTTCGTTAAGAGACAATGCCAGGCTATCACAAAAGTCAACCATATTGGTTGTGCATGACTTGTGCTCTAGAAAACCATGCTGCCTGGGATCAAGAAGGGTACTTGTCAAAGAAAGCAGTTTACGTTTAACAATGCGCTCAAAAACTTTCATGACTAAACAAGTAAGGGATATTGGTCTATAGTTTTCAACCTCACTTTTCTTACCTTTCTTAAATATTGGGACAACATTTGCAAGTTTCCATTCTTGTGGAATGTAACCGCTGTTGTAAGATCCACGAAAAATGCATGTTAGAGGGTAAGCTAAACCTACGGAACAATTTTTGAGAATTTTACCGTGTATGCCATCTGGTCCCTGGGCTTTATTTGAATTAATATTTGAAAGAAGCTTACGAACATCCCGATGATCGAAGTCAATATCAAAATCAACATCATTGACATAGGAGATGTCAGTGTCATAAAGTGAAGGATCCGAAAACTGGTTATAAAAGAAAGAATTGAAAAGTTCAGCTTGAGCTTTGGGTTTGAACCGAAGCTGTCCAGAATAACTAACACAATTAGGAATACGGCAGGAGTTAGATTTATACTTAACATGTGACCAAAACTTCTTAGTTATAAGCGCTGGATCATCACTATTGAAAAGATTGTCTCTTATTTTGGCTGATGAAAGCCTCTTAAAATCTTTACGGCTAGTAACAAACTTTAACTCATCAGAAATAGAACCAGAAATTTTAAATTTAGCTCTGAGTCTATCTTTTTTACGGCATGAAGAAAAAAGTTCACTATCGAACCACGGGGGTTGAAACTCTGATTTAATAGTTACTTTAGGAATATGTATATCAACTAAATTCATAATGCAGTCTTTAACTAACTTCCAAGACGAATCAGGATCTAGGCATTCTAGGACTTGCCAATTAATCGAGCATAATTCACGATTAATCATGTCCCAGTTTGCTTTCTTATAATTATAGATTTTACGTTTAGGAGTTTTCTTGCGGGAAAAGGAGCTTTTAATTGAAAAAGTGACAGGAAAATGATCAGATTTGCACACGGAATGAGGATCACAGACATTCAAGTTATCGATTGTGTTATCATAATTACTGAGAAGAATGTCTAATGTATTACCACTTTTATGGGTGGGTGATGTGATCAACTGGGAGAGAGAAAGATCACTGAAAGAATCTATGAAGGATTGCTCAATAGGTACGGTACTGGATGAAGATAGCCAGTCTGTATGGGGGAGATTAAAATCACCAATAACATAGATTTTAACATAACATTTTAACATAACATAGATTTTGATAAAGAGAAGGGTTGTAGTTTACGACGAGAAGATAAGTAGAAAGTGGGGTTAAAGACTGAATTTATCAATTATGGGCTCTACCGCCTTAGTTAATTATCACATAAGAGAAATAAAATACTGTTTATATAAATATAGAACTTTATAGGAAAACAGTATATTTTAATACTGTAACCACCGAATGTGAACAAAATCACGCAACACTCATAATCATACAACATACTCAACAGATAATCTTTATTTGAAAATAAGAAATTGAACGTTAGAGAATATAATATTATTGAACTTTAATCTGGATAAGATATCAACAACAAAAACCAAATTAGCAATGTTACATGGAATGTCACTGTATAGTAATAGTTAATAGTTATACCTTATCATAATTTAATTGTATCAATCACGACGCTATTTCAGTTCTTCACTGCTATATCACAACAATCTATAAAGATTACAAGATCTCAATAATGTTTTTAGCACTAGACGATCTAGCTTCTTAATTTGATAAAATATTTTGCATTATTTGTGGTAATATTTGTTCGATCAATATTATATTTAAAACACCCGGAGTTTCAAGGGGGTTCTACTTCTATTATCCTACATACGTCACGTCCCTCTTTCAGTTCATCTAACAGTTCATCTGGATCTTCACAAGAATCAGGTGTATAATTATACAGGATCACTGTTGAGTATACTCTAGCTCTGGATATTGCCAAGTAAAGGAATGGAATAGTGTTACTGAGCGTCAAATCTTTCTCACTCTTATCTGGTAGTATAGATTTTCTGTTAATTAACT